CATCCGGTAAATTACCTATTAAGCTTAGAGTATTCTCACTATCATGAAATTTTAAATAATCATCTAACTTGTCAATGGACTTTGTTTTATTATTAGTATCCCAAATTGGTCTATTCATGATTTAGAGAAAAAAAAATTTTTTTTTTTAATTATTCTTTACTTTTTTTTTAAAATTAATCATATCTTACGTGTTTTTAGAATAATATAAATATTACATTCCAGAAATATTTTTTATCTAGTTGTCTACATTCTAATAGTTAAAATCAATCGTGTCTGTGGATTTAGAATAATTTGTAAGTCATTATATCCCAATTTTAGTAATCATTTCCATTATACATGATAGCTCCGTAGTTTGATGTCTAGCTTAACAATTCTCCTCATAGTTGATTGATCCATTTGATCTAATTTATATTTTATTATATGAAAATAAATTAATTTAATTTAAAATCGTATATCCCACCGCTGCCACCATGAAAAGGTTAGCAGGGACAAGGCAATAAACAAAAAAGTTATTATATAATGTATTTAAAAAATATTGAACTACAATTTCACTATATTTTTAACTCAAAATCTATATATAAATTTATCCTTTATATATATAAAAAATCTATTAAACAATTAAATGAAAAAATGGTGTTAATTAAATGAATGTAAGATATAAAAATTTTTGCTAAATAATAACCATTATAATAATAATAATAATTCATATTTAACATAGAGGTAGACAATATTGTAAACTTGAATGTTTAAGTTTACCTAATTCCCTTTTAACTACAAATAGTATGGGCACTAATTCCCCATAAAATGTACTACTCTGCCCTTGTAGTTTGTCTAATGCAATTGCTATAGGGCCTAAAACTTTACAATATTCCTCCATATAAACAATATCCACTTCTTTTAAATTAGGACTATCAATTGTTTCAAATAATAATTTTAAATCGAATTTATATTTTAATAATGAAGTCATACTATCACATAAACTGTTTCATCTCGTTATGCATGGAACCTTTAGCTGAATACCACCTGATCTTTTCAGAAGATTTGGGCCTTCCACATGCATTCTAAAATTTTGTGCATTTCCCCATTAGTCCATATTGAATCTTTTCAAGATTCTGCGAGCTTGAAATTGATGAAATAATATCTTTAGTTGCAATTAAGGACAAAGTGTGGCAGGCACATCTGATGTGCCTGGGTAATATTATTTTGTTTATATCATCTAAAGATAAAGATTTTAAAAAAATTCTAAAAGAAATCTGTACCATCATTGATTTCATTAAACTCTAATAGATCATTCTCATCCTCAAAATCGTTGTCAATAGCATTTAATTTCACACCATATTCACTAAATGACTTACAAAATTGGATGCATTATCTGTGACAGTAGCAATTAGTTTATTAGAAATCCCATACTCTCTATAGACTTCTTCCGATAACTCGGCAATTTTATCAAATGAATGTGTGCCACTGCCAGGCATTCTTCTACATGCCAAGGCTCTTGATTGTTTTTGAAGAGTTTCTCTTGTTATCTTTGAAAATAATTTATAAAAAAAATTAAAATACGATATAAATACCCAGTGAGCTGTTATTCCCATAAAACTACGGGTTTTTGTAAACCACAAATCTGCCGTGGTACAAATATATGATTGGGCCTTTAAAATATTTTTTAAAGTATCTACATGATTTTCAAAAATTTCCTCTATTCTTCTCTGCAAAGACCTCCTTGAAAATATTTTAAATCATCCAATATTACTAAGAATATCTAGAATATCATATCGATATTAATCTATATAAAATAATCTAACCTTTCATCATTGTAACAAATTCAGGCTGTTCAACTAGGCTCAAAGGATGTAAACTTTTGACAATAAATTCACATATCAATTTATCAATTTTATTTTGGGTAATTGTTGGTTTTATTTTATTATTTGTAATTGTATTAAATGATTCTGATATATTAGGTTGAATCATTTTTTTTATGGTATTAGAATTTGGAGGTTTTTTTCTGTGCTGTTTTAAATATAGCTTATATTCAGAGAATATGGCTAAATGACATCTCTAATAAAAAAAATATACTAGTTTTATTTTATTCATTTATCTTTAATAAGTATTTATCACTTGTTTATGATATTTATGTATTTTTTTAAATTAGTTTCATTTTCTAATCTGATTTATTAATTCTGTCTGTGCTTGTAATATCATATTTACTTATTTTATCATCTTATAAATATCAGTCAAATCCCTTTTCAAATTTTTTAATATATTCCATGCAAAATCATTATAAAAAAAATATGAAAATAATGTACAACATTATATTATTTAATTATTAAATACATAACATTCTATTATGCATTCTAAATTGATTAAATTTAGTAAATAAATACTGTAATGTAATTTCTTTTATTTAGAGCCTTTTAAAATTATCTAATGTTATATTATATCAATTGTAGCTAAAATATTTCCTCTGATAAGAGAACTTGTTAAAATAATAAAAAATAAAAAATATATATCCAAAATAATTTTAATTTGATAATCAACTATCTTCTATAAAAATTTTTAAAATAACCATTATCTAAGAGAGACTTAAGTATGTTAATTAATAAAATAAAAATGTATAAATATAATATAATACCTTAAGATGTTTAATAAAATTTGTAGATGAGTTTGTTGATCCTTTAATAACTTTTTTATTTGTACAAGTTTGACATTCCGCTTGTACCTTCTCCTTTTTCACATATATTATCTTATAAAATTTTCCATCTAGGATTTTATGATTCAGATTTGATTCAGGAGAACCTATTTCCATAATTTCATCTTCACTACTTTCTTCACTATGAATATTAATCATTCAGCAAATCAGCGTCTACATGACAGGATTTTCACTGGATGCAAACCCCCTTCAAAAACCTTTTACTACCCCCCTAAAAATATTCACCGCCTTCAGCGGCGGTGTCTCCCTATTATTATTTTTACCTTTAAAATTTATTGATACTCTTTTTAGAGAATTTATAAAAGATAACTTAAATTAATCTATCTCTACTACCAACTATCGATATTTTGTGAATATAAAGAATTTATTTTTTAGATAATAAATTCAATTAAAATCTCCATTATTTACAATGAATTAATTATTATGGCATTATGAGCTTGCTGAAATGATAGCAGAAAGTTTTATTTGAAAACTTAATAGATAACCATCCAAAAATTTTATCTTACCACAATTAAAGCAGCCTGTCCCTTACCCCCATTAAAGCAGCCTACTCCCCTCAAAAAATAAGATGCAAACTGTTCCTACCCCTCCCGCTCATATAGACGCTGCTGCAAATTAAAAAATATTATATATAAAATATATATTTCCTTAGTTAGTTTTGGTGTTGTTATTTTTAATCTATCAAACTTTGTAACCTGTAAAATTTCCAACTAATTTTGGTAATCAATATATTTAAAATATAGCAGGAAAAAAATAAAGAAAATAATAGATTCCACGAAGAATATAAAGTTACATTGTGTAATATGTAAATGTTTTATTTAAACATGAATATTAAAAAGAATCTGTATCTGTATCTGTATCTGTATCTGTATCTTTGTCAAGAAAATAGAAAAGATACAAGATTCTTTTAAAAATAAAGGATCTTAGATACAGATACTAGTATCTTATTAAAAAGGTTAAAAAGATACTGAGTACAAGATACAAAAGGATCTTGTATCTTGTATCTTAGATACAAGTATTCGCGGTACTGCCCAACTCTGAGAATTAGTTATAAAATACTAGGTAAAATTCCACTTTTACAGACATATTTGACAGTTAGAGAATATATTACAGTTAATAATTTAACAAATTTTACTAATCAATGCTTTTGATATTAAATATGCAACAATTTACATTCAATTATTTAACGCCATCTATTTGTTTTAAGAAAAATTATATTTAAATTTAATTTTCATATTATTCATCCCACAATGTCTTTAAAAGATATTTTCTGATGTCCTTATCAATATTTTATAGTAGATTATTCGCTATATAAGTAAAAATTACTTGATTGTCATTTGATAATTAGATATACTGTACATCAACGACATATAATATTCCCCTGTTTGTATTGTGCTTTAATATTTTTTTAATTTATGATTTGATTTTATCAATAGTTTTAAAATTATATTTAACTTTTATTAAGATTAATAAATTAAAATTACTCACTTTATAAAAAATTATATTTGATATATTATATTATTTATTAATTTTATGGATCTATTATTAATAATTATAATACAATTCACTTCTGTCTTAAGACTTATCTTTGGCTAAACCTTTTCAAGACTTCAGGACAAACCGAAATGGAATTGGTATGCTCTTTAAATTTTTCTTTTTTTATATAGTAAATTTACGGCTTTAATTAAAAAATTAAATTTAAAATCAGCCACAACCCACCTTTAAAGTAATTAACTTATACTGCAGTTCTTGGGCATAGGCTCTTTTTCTGTCCCGCTCATTTTCTTAAAGCCTATGGACATATGTAAAATTTTTCGAAATGTTGCGAGTACAAGTACGTGCGGCTTGTCAATAAACGTGTAGAGGGCTCCTCATACTTTTTTTTAAAACTTTACACCCCAATTAACTTATGTTCCAATTAGATGGAAATGAGGAAAACCTAGCTAGCTCTGTTGTTTATTCAACGTCAGAGGGCATATGCGCTATATATCAAGTCACGGATCACGGAATTTAATGCATTAGCGCGTTAGATTAATCAAAATTTTTAAACGATCGAAAGGATTTAAGCAAAATAACAATAAAAATAAAAATAAACCTTAAGATAAAATACAAATAAATCAACAATATTACAAATAGTATTAATTTTTGTAAACGTGTTAAGAATATTATTAATTTTTTTAACATACCCGTAATCACTTACATATATTCATATATTGACCAGTCATGTTTAGGAGTAAACTTTAATTTGTAAGAAAAAGAAAGCATTTATCCTTTAATTAAATATATATTTTTTTAAATAGTTAATCAATATTATATTTAGCATTATCCTTTACTTAATGGATATTTTAAAAAGAAAAGATAGCGTTCCAAATACTGATGATATATCTCAAACACATAAATATCTATCAAGAATTGTCTCAACTATTGGTGGAATTGGTAAAACTTAAGATTTATTGGGACTGTTTTGTCTATTAAACATAGATATTCAATAATATTAAGTTTAATTCATATACTTTTAAATTATTAATAAATGATTATTAATAAATGCTTTTATGCTTTTTACCTAAACTATTTAAGTAAGTTATGTAAAAAAGAAAATTAAAAAACTTACATTTTCATATTGAATATTATAATTTATATAATATAAGTATATACCTTTATGTAATTTATAAAAAAAATAAATAGTTGCAATTGTATTGGGATTTTGGGTGGCATTTACATTATCTGCAAAATGTGTTGTGGCTGGACTAACCTTAGTGTAATTTTTTTAAATATATTTAAGTAATTATTTATTTTTACTATTTATAAGTATATGTGGGCCTGCCAAATAATTTACCATTGTTTGGTCATGAACATACATTCTCAGAATAGTTAGACCAACCTAAGGCCTTGATAAAAATTTAAATTATTTTGTACATATAAAAATTCCTTTCAAGAAAATAGCATATTTATATTTTCCCTCACTTATCATTTTCTCACCTTCCTTGAAAAATAGTACCTCTTACTTGGTTCATTATAGAGGTTTGCAATGGGTAGGTTTTTAGCCTATCAGCCTGATTTTATAAAAAAATTTAACCCATCCATCCAACCCACTCATAGTTTTTTAAAAATATACCCACTTACCCTGTCCACCCACTTGCCCATTAGTCTAAAATTTTTTACCAACCACTGATTATTTATAAAAAAAATTTAACCCATATAAAATTTAAATAAGCTCATTCTTTCAATTTTTAAGCATCTAATAAAGATGATTTAGTTTAAAGTATTACATCCTTACAAAAAAGTTTTATCATTTAAAATTGCTATATTAAGCATAAAAAAAATATTCGATTTAATTTACTGATGAGGAATTTATTTGATCTAAAAAAAATATTTATATAATAATAAAATTAATATATATTGATACTAAAAATAATTTTTCATTCAGAAGATACACTGGTTTGCTTAATTGACAGCATTTTTCTAGCTAATCTTGATGGCTTTGATAAATTTTTTTCTTGTTGTTTCCATCAAAGTAGGATATTCATTAGAAGTAGTGTTGTTAAATGTATCGATTTCAGCCAATTTTTATAATCGGCTTACTCAATATTTTAACCAGAAAAATATTGCACAAGACTAGAGATTTTACTAATACATATCCAATTTGTTCAATCTATGGCCAAAATCTTCAGGCTTGCATAATGTTCTGCTAAAATATTGAGATAGGCTCAAATGGAGTTGTTTAACAGTTTAAAGGTACTTAAGTGAGATATTTAAATTAAAGTGAAACCATTAATAATAAGTAAAAAAAATTAATTTAAATTAATTGTTTATAAATTATAAACTTAAACTAAACTAAGTAGCCTAAAATTTTGCTAAATTATACAAAAACTTGTTATTTTAATATTTTGCTATGTCATTAGGTAACATCTTCCTATCTGTTCACTTTGATGTGGGTGTTAATTTCAAACATTACATTATAGTTTTATATCTTTAATTGAATTCTCTTGTGGGGAAATGGGTAAAATCAGATTTTCATTCATATTTCTTCCTTGCAAATCAAATCCAACATGTTTTTGATATATTTTTACCTAATTATTTTTTTTCATTATCGGTACTTTGGTAATAAAAATGTTGAAATTTTAGGGAATATTTTTTTAAAAAAATATTTACTTAAATGATTTTAAATAGCAAATAAAAGTTGTAAACCTTTTAATCTTCCTGCCCATCTATAGTTTAAATATTTTCTTAGCTCACAAATGATGAGCTGGTAGGTTAAAAACCCTCCCAATGCAGACCTTTAGTTCAATATTTCTATTAAAATTTTTTCTTGAATGGACTTGGGCATTTTAAAAACTATCATCTAAATAATAAATCTTAAAGTTAAATTAAATTAAAGTCAACAGTTGTTTTAAAATTAGGTGTCCAAAACCCTAAATTCAATGAATTTAAGCTAGGGTTATTTAACACTTAGGCAAGTAACTAAAGGGTTGGAAAGTGGGAAATTTTCACCCCTTCAGAAATTTTTCAGTTCTTAAATTTAACTTTAAATTATTTAATTTCCCCCCCCCCAATCTATTCAATATATATCACTATAAATAATAATATGAAAGAAAACTAAGTATTTATTATTTTTATAAAATAAATAACTATTAAAAAATATTTAGAAAAAATGGTGAAAAACCAAAATTATTTTATTAAAATATAACATAGCGATGATAGGTCGACAATAAGTTAACCTAAAGACATAATAATGCTTTTCCCCTACAAGATCATCCAGTGACCCCTACACTTTTTGAGGGATAGAAGCAGAATACCCCCTAAGGTACCCCCCCCCCCATTGTAAATTATTTTTTGACACCAATAAATTTCAAAAATAATTTTTATTGCATCAATATTTATTATAATATAAATATAATGTAAAAAATATATGCTTTAAAAATATTATTTTTAAATTAATAATTTAGATAAATTAGGGGAAGAGAAAGCAAAAGAATTTATAATTTCATCAATATTTAATTGTTTAAATAAATTATTTTCCATTGATAAAATGGTTAAATTATTAAGAAATGGATCTTTCATGACACTACGAAGTCTTGTTTTAATTTTACTCATGACCCTTTCGGCAGTACATGATGTAGTAGGAATAGTTAATAAATATTTATATAAAATTGTTAAATTTGGGAAAGCAGAAAAATTTATAAGCAGACGATAAGGTAAAATAAATGAATAGTTTCTCCAGTCTGAATCATTCATCTCAGAATTATTATCATCATCAGAAGAAGCTAAATAATGTATTAGTAAAAATATCTTAATAAATTTACAATTCTCAGAATCTGACAAATCTTCTTTAACCTCTAGGTCACGGGTAATAATTACGTCCCCCGTTTTAGCCATTTTATAAATATTTCTAAACATCAACATTTCCTCAAAAACTTGACTTGTATTTAATTGATAAAATTCACAGATATCCTTGATATCATCTTTAACAATTGCCTTTTCCGCCATTCCCTTTGGGGTAAAAAATGATGTTTGACTCAAAAATTTTATCGATTCATCGTTAAATCTTTCACTAAACTGCATATCAAGTGCAGCATAAAACACACTGATTTTAAAGCTAAAATAAAATATTATATTTAATGATGAAAGTATATATACCTCTCCTTTTTGGATTGTAATGTTTGAAGTCTTGAACTTTCAAAATCAAAAGGTAAATTTCTCTTCTTTATAAAATCTTGGGCCTTTGAAAAGACATCCAAAAATTCAGTGTTATTATCAATTTTAGGATTGTAAAATAATAAAAGATAATAATTTAAATTATACTTCTCATATTAATCAGGCAATCTTTTGCCAATTGAATTTGATTTATTGCAAACCCTATATCCTTCGAAATGGTTTGCAATTTTGTACAAGCCAAGCTTGTTATCAACAATATTTTATCCAAAACACATAGTGATAAAATAAAATAAAATTTTTCTATTCTATAGACTATAGCACTAGCCATAGTGGAAGTGGCAGGATCTTCAGAATCCTTTAAATTTGCCAAAGCTGCCCTCAAAGCATCATAAAGTTGAAAAAAATTTACAATCGCCTTATATGATGTTAGCCAGCTTCTATAAATATAAAATAAACATTATATATCAAAACAATTAAGATAATATTACCGAGTGGTATTCTTGATGCGTAAAAATCTATGTGATTTTGTCAGTAAATCACTCTGACATGTTTTGAGCACTTCATATCTTTTAACATCATTAAAATATACGTAAATTTCGTCTAATATTCCCAAGACATTTCGCAGCTCTTTTACTGATTGGCATAATTGAACAACTATTAAATTTAATCGATACAATAGCACCAAATAAAAGCTGCCTTTGGCACCTCCGCTCTAATCAAAGCCTGCACTCCATTAATTCTTCCACTCATGTTTGAGGTGCCATCATAGCTTTGCCCACTAGGAATTCGAGGGGTAGATATATGGAGCCAAGCTTGGATATTATATTCTTTTTAATATCGAGGCCCGTTGTATTTCCCGTACAATAAATGTCTAATCAGCCTTTCAACGGGCTTAGGTGTCTCGCTATTTTCAACATATCTCACTATCAAAGCTATTGCTTCTGATTTCGATACATCATATGTGCCATCAACTATAATTGAATAGCACCTGTTGAATTCAATCTCCTTTTGAATTTTTTTATAACCATATTTTTCATGGTTTCAATAAGAATATTTATGTTATTATATGATAACAGATTTGAATATAATTTAGATTTTAATCCCTTAATTTTTTTTCTCACTTCTTCTTTCTTCATTATCTTGTATATACATTTTAAGAACAGGCTAGAATCTGCAATAAGTTTAATAAGGCTCATCATATTGCCATCTTAATTTTTAATCAAGCATTTATATTTTTTTTGGTTAATATTTTTGGGCATATTTTGACAATGATCTAGAAATTATAAATGATTATATATAAGATTAAATATTTAAATTTTTACTATTCCCTTTGATAAAATTTTAATTTTGCGCCAAATCTTGAAAGTGGAAAAATAATTTTATGATAAGAAATATCGGATAACAAACTAATTTGCTAAACATCGACCATAAAAATTTTTAAAAAAATAAATAAAAAATTTAAAAAAAAAAGTACCCCCATAGAAATTTATAGAAGCAGTTGCTTCGGACCCCCCCCCCCGTTGTAGGGGTCACTGAGATCATCCTGTTAACACACATGTACATCTATGTTAACTACATCAGGATTTTTGAAAAGAGACATTAATTTGCCTAATTCATCATTTAGTATATATATTTTGCAAGTTGTTTAACCCAGCTTGATAATCCTTTTTTTTACTAGCAAGTAGGCTGGACTATGTGTATCTACAATTTTATAATTTATATGGTTAATAACAGTATAATTGAAAATAATTGCAATTTCAAAAAGTTATACAACAAAAAACATCCAATAAACAAAGGGATTTCTGTTTCCAGATCCTGTTGTTAATTAATTGAGTTCTTCCACCATAAAAGTCCTATTGAAATAACCCAATTAAAAACTTGAATGACCTAATTAGTTAACTAACTAAAATCGACTAATGGAAATATTTTTTTATTTTTGGTAGAATATTTTTTTATAATTAAATATAATATTAAATTTTATTTATATGAGAGAAACTAGGCGCCATATATCGGTCATTTTGATAATATAATGGATTCTATAAAAATAATGTCAATAATTAAAATCTTATTATTAAAAAATATACATTAAATACATTAATCTATTCCCGGATCAAAACGAGCCTGTAAACCTCTTTGTAACCCATTCAATTGGGCTTTGGGATGAAGAGTGGTTGCAGTGCTTCCCATGTAACTATAAATTTACTCGAAAACCTTAATCAAGACATTATCATAATTAAACTTGATTTTACCAATACTTTTAACTCCATAAAACGAAGTTGTTTATACCCTGATAAGGATTTTTTTGCATATACACTCTTTATATGAACAACAGTTATGGGAATGCATGCCTCCAATATGTTTCCTAACTAATCATCAGAAGGGATTCAGCAAACTGATTCCCTAGAACTTGCCATTTGCTAAGGGGTACAACAAAAATAACAAGATATCAACAACAAATGTGATTTATATTTAAATATATGGTGTCAAGATGATAGAACCCTGGCTATTGCTTCACAAAACATTCATAAAATTCCAATTATGATCAAAAGTTTGGAGCCCCTTACTGGTCTCTTCCTAAATATATACAAATGTGTTACCATCAATTTTCTAACTTATTAATGACTTTCCACTCTCAGCTCTACCTTTTCATCTGGGTTCACCAATATGAGGGATGATTAGTTCTTAAACGTTCATTAGCAATTTTTTATCATTTCTTAAGGAGCCAACTCCACTCTTACAATCCTTATCACCCCATCACGCATTTTTATTGATCAAAACTTTTTTCTAATTCCCAAATCACACATGGGTTTCGGTCATCTACGGTTTATTTAAATTATGGTATTCTCAATCTTCTTGAGGAGGAGAAAATCTATTATAAGAACCTAAAATTTTTACCTCATGCTTGGCAACAGGCAACTCTCCATAACAGACTTGGCGGCATTGGCATTCGTTTTCCAAAACTATCGCTTTAGCTGCTTTTAATTTTTCATGGGTGCCATCCCACCCAATTATTCATCGTAACACGAGTTTATCTGATCTCCAGCTGATGAAAACTCTTTATACATGGGATAATGTTGTAAACCTCAAGCCGTCTAGTGGGTACAGCTCAAAAAGAATTAGGTTTTCTTTTAATTGCTCATTCCTTAACTTTCCTCTTTGCTTAGAAATTTCAATCTGAAGTAGTGCCATATTTTAAGTTTGCCAGCTTTGATAATGGCTATGAGTGGCTTGAAGCTGTTCCTAGTTTAAATTTTGGGCTTCATCTTAGTGCTGAGGAACCTAGCATAGCAGTAGATTTACGCTTGGGATGCTCATTTATATTTCCTTTCACTTGTATAAAGCGTCATTCAAGTCGTTGACTACCATCCTCTCTACTACAAATTCAGCAAGGGGAAAAGTATCCGACATCAAACAATAAATTCTCTATTAGATCCTCAAGATACCCATCTACCCTGGAATCAATAGAACTCTATACTGAACGGAAAAAGACCAGATATCATAACTCTTATTCCATTCCAGGGAAGGAAAGAATTAACTTGGAATAATATGTATAGATAAATGTATTTGAAACCAACAATTCCCTCCCGGAACGCATAATCCAAATTGAGACGCTAAAATTCAATAAATATTTCTTTTTAACTGACATTATTTTTATCCCTTGGCCCTTGAAGCCATTAAATTTTTAAAATTTTTAGGTCGTAAAATCTCATCAAAATTTGGATGTTTTTTTTACTAAAACAGCAAATTTCAACGGCAGTATGCAAATCAAATTTACTCTCCATTCACGGTTCAATACCTGCCATGATCCAAATAATTATAAAAAAAATTTTAAATTATTTTTGTTATTTTTTTTTGCTTTTTGTTTTTTTTAATTTTTTAATTTTAATTTTTTTAAATTTTAGTTTTATATATTATTAATATATGCATGCTTTAAATGTAGATTTAAATTATAAAGTATTTATTTTTATATCCAAAATTTTTGGGAATAAAATATCAAATCTTATAATTTTTTTTACAGAATCAGTTTATTAAAAACCAAAACGGGGGGTATAAACGTATACTAAATTTAAGTAGTCAACTAATTTGTTCGACTGTCAAGTTATTTTGTCTCTGAAAGTCGGAGTCGATTTTTCGACTAAAAACTCGAGATAAGTTTTTTTTTTAATCGACTAAATTTATTTGTTTAATATAACTACTTATTACACTTAAATTGAATCATCTGCTTTATTTAATAAAATTATATAATCAAGTTGTTAAAAAAATGCAGCATAGTCCTGCCTAGTCACATGTACTGAATGGGCCTTGTTAATAAAATATGTTATATTATTTATCACATTGCAGGCCTGACCAAAGCCCATGGTATGCAATTTTTTTAAAAAAATATGCCTCAGATCAACCCTAAAAATATATTTTTTTTTACAAAGCCTAGGCTAGGGCGATAAAATATATTTTTAAATTAGACCAATCAATCGACTGGAAAACCATACAATGGATCACTTTATCATTAATTCACTACATATTTTTAATTGCCATTTGAAACAATTTAAAAAATATAACCAAAATTATAATAAATTTTTTAATAAAAATTCTGGGCCAGGCCATATTCTAAATTTATAAAAATAATATTTAAATTTTAGTCAGGGTCATTTTACAGAATGTTTTTTAAGCGGCTGGCATTCTGTGTATTGTTGCTAACAATTTTTTTTACTTCCAAACAAAAATAATTATTTGTCGAATTCATTTTTTTTTATAATATGAAAAAAACTTAATAGTCATCGCTAGAGGTCTGCAAGGGCCGGGTAACGTCTAAAAAATATATTTGGGCCGATCCGGGCAAAAGAATTAACAGGCCAGGTCGGGCTAATTTAAAAAAAATTATTTTAATATTTCATATAAGATAATTCATAGAATATAGTTTTTTTTAACCACTCCCAATATTATAAATAGTTGCTTATTTTGATGTTCAACTACATATATTTCGGTTTTGGCCTTTTATTTAAAAAATATATAAAAACCTGACTGGGCAACCTAAAAAATTTAAATAGGGCCGGGCCGGGCAATGAATAAAATCCCTCCGGGCCCGGCCTGAAAATTTGCCATTTGCAGATCGCTAATCGTCGCATGTCAGGCGTCATTTAATCGTTGATAAATATCAAAAAAAGCCCTATTACGGGTCTTAAATATAATTGGGTAATTGCTATATTTTTAGCCGGCTAAACAAAGTATTTAGCCGAAAACTATTATTTTGGCCTCGGGTTTTTTAAAAAAAAAATAGCTTAAATTTGGAAAAAACTAATAAAAATTAAAAACCTTAATGTTAACGGATTTTCTCCAGCAAGCACCCGAAGATTGGGTCGAGTTAGCCCATATTTAGGCATTACCCAACTTTAGTCTTTAGTTTTGAGACTTGTTAGTATACCAAGTTTTTTTTGATACTTTATGCTTGCATCTCAAATGTTAAGTCAATTGTGATGAAGATATAATTTTGAGGAATATTATATTTTTAAATTCCAAGAGGTAAAATTTCAGGTTAAGAATTTGCCATCTTGCCAAGGAATCGTTGTTATGCCA